CCCTGGGCTCCAGGCCACAGAGACCCTGAGTTAAGTCTGGAGTTAGGTTCCTGCCAACGTGTGACAATGGGAATCCAAGTCTAATCAAAACCGTCACATCTTCACTGCGCTTCCTCCACTCATGGAGACGAGGCGGCCAGTAGCCACCCTGGGGAGGGGAGCCCGGAGCCTCCCACCAACTTCCCTCCTCCTGATACCATTCTGTGATATTGGTGCTCAGCGGGCTCAGCGGGCATCTCGTGTCTATCTGAATGCCTCCTGGCACGAAGAACTCAGACCCTCCGAAGGTGGCCCAGTTCATCTTTGGTCCGTCTAGTTATCAGTTATCAGAGAGTTCTTCTTTTGTGTTGAGCTGATATCTATCTTCTGGACCTTCTACTTCCCAACTGTCATAACTGCCTCTCCCTCTGAAAGGCTCTCCCGGGAGGGGGAGGGGATGGGTTCCGGTAGTTCCAGAAGCCTCCTGCAGGTGGGGAGGGCAGTTATGAGCCACCCTGCCCCCCACCTTAACTAGACAAAGCTCCCCTGGATGGATCATTTCCTTGAGTCCAAGTGAGAATGAGCTTCAGCTAAGGCCGCTGCTGGCCACAGGGAGCATTTGGCTGAGTTCATCGCTAACTAGCATATCCACTGCCACTGACTGGGCCCATTCCTGTTCTATAGGGCACATCCACGCGCTCTCCAGAGACACTCCCTCCAACTGATCCTGGCAAGGAATTTCCCACTCCCCCCTTGTAAGGCCAAGTGACTGAGGCTGGGGAGTTGGGTATGGGGGGCTAGGGAGAAATGAGAACTTCCCATGATGGGGGAGAGGGTGAAACTGACTATACCCGGACTTTTAAGAAGACACCACCCCATTCTGCCAATCTCTAGGCTAACAAAAATCAAAACCAAAACAAGCAAATAGCAAAGACTATTTAGGTTCTAGTACATAGAAGGGAGGAGATTTGCGCTGCATTATTGTAGGATGGAAAATGTTTCCCTTCTCTGTTCCACTCCCTGTCTTTCTATTTCTACTCTTCTTAGTAATGGGAACCAATGTTTCAGAGACTGTGACTCTTTGAAGACCTCTAAGCTGGAGGAGGAAACCAATCAATTTTTATTTACTCAACTTCCTTTCTTTTATTTCCCCCACTGCGAGGTGAATCAAACCCAGGATCTCGCACATATAAACGATCACCCCCCCCCCCGACCCTTTGTCCAACATTCTGCCGGCCATCCATTCATCTGTCCAAGCAGCACATTGAATTGGCCGTTGGGCACTAAGCACTGGGCTGACCAACAGACACATGAGGAAGATTCTGGCTTTTGTACTCTCAGGGATCCTTGTACCAAGGCTCAATCGCCATTGTCAAACCAATACCAGAACTTCTTAGTACAAAAGTGTGACTCCCTTGGGAAAGCCCTAGGTACTTATTCCCAAATCTCCTGTACTCGAAGATTTTTCTCTTGGCAATTGCCTCGAGAGCTTCTGACATACATATACACACAAGTGAGTCTACATTTGGGGGGAATTTGACTAAGACTTTTTTCTTTTCAGGTTTGATAATTCTTTTTTTTTCTTTCTTTTTTAACCTAACTTGGTTGCAAAGTCACACCCATATCCCTCAGGATGGTGATGACAGGCCACCTGGGAGGGGGTGCTTTGGAAACCCCCCCTGGACACAAGTCTCGGTGACTTTTGGGAAGCTGCGATGGTAATGGATAAATCAGTAGGCATTGCCCTGTTGAAGAGTTTCACCCCACTACTTAATGAGGCCCCCTTGGAGCACAGCCATATCTATGTTGGTGTATCAAAGGTTTGGAGGATTCTGCCATCAGGGAACCCATCCACCTCAGACTGAGGTCACCAGCCCCTTTGCAAGGGACGCTTATGAATGTCCAACAATGTCTGAATCCTTCTCCCCCCCTCCCCATACTAAATCACTTGAGTTTAGAAAAATGCAGCTTTGATGGCAGCCTGAGCCCTTGAGGCAGAGACCCCGCACCCCTCGCTCATACCCACCCACCCACCCACCCACCCACCCACCCATCTCTTCCACAGACCGCCCCAACCAGGCCTCCCCTCTGGGTTTCCCAGGAACAACTCTCTTCACCATCAGTGAGTGACCTCTGCCCGGGCTCACACGGGCAGAGTTGTGGGGCTCTGTCCAGCAGATTTGCTGGAGTCTAGGAGCCGCTGGGTCCCAGCAGTGTTTAGAGACCACACAAAGCTGGGGCTCAAATTCAGGCCTTTCTCACATGCACTTGGGTCACCTTCTTAGGCCCCCCTTCTACTTCAGGACCCCCCCCCCTTCTTCCCCATCTGTATTTCTGCTCTCACACTCCGAGACTTTGCATCTGCATTTGATATGCCAAGTGCAGCAGATGACAGGGAGGCAGTCAACCTGCCATGACCTGAGTCTTCCCCCCAATCTCTCACTCGGCAAGGGTCAGGGCGGGCTCTCTGGCCCACTGGATGCCTGCAGAAAGTTTCCAGTCAAGACACCCAAGTGAGCTGCGGATGGTTCCTGGAGGCCTCAAGGGGCATCTTTCACTGCTGCCCACATCTAGGACCCCCCAAAGCCTCAGGTCCTGGTGCAGGACTGGCGGGCTCTGGGCTGGTGCCAAGCCTTTCTCTCTCTCGGAGAGGGCACCCAGCCGTCCACAGCTGCTCCTCTGTGCTTCTCTATGCTCCTCCAGTCACACTTCTTTCCCGCAAGGCTGGGGTGCAGGGTACCACAGAACGGGCGAGCTGGGCGCTTACTTGGACTGTCCACGGGTGCCAAGCCTTCTGGTGGTTAGCTGAGGAAACTGCTGCCTTATGATCTGCAAGTCAACACAAGAATCGGTTACCCGTCGGAGAAAGTGGGGTGACACGCAGCACCCGAGGCAGGGAGGTAGACCCAAATCCTGGGGGGGGGGTAGGGCAGCATCCATGTGAGTGGGGACTCTGGGGGGCTCTGGAGCCTGGAGGTCACTTCCCCCACCCCACCCCACCCCCGGCAGCTCCGTGTGCTATTCACCCAGCTCACAGTGTAGGGAGATTGCCAGTACTGGCCTCTCCCTTGTTTGAAGCCTTCCAGAAGCTTCTAGAGCCCCGGAACAAAAGCCTCAGCCTACAGCCGCAGCCCCTCAGTGAGGATTTTTTCCTGTTCCCAAGACACTTCTGGGCTTCCTCCTCATGGGGCACCCTTGGCCCACACTGAGGCTGAACCCAGACCTTCCCAAGAGGGGCGCCTTGTCCTCCAGCCTGGGTGGGGGGGGCCCTGGGCCAAGGCTACTGTCTGCTCTGAGGACCCCGACCAGCCCACATGGCCCTGCTATCTGATCTTCCTCACGTGGTCCCTCACGTGGCCCCTCACGTGGCATCTCACATGGCATGTATATCCACCTTGTTGGCTCTCCTGAGTCTTCCCTTCAGGGAAGCCTGAGGCTCCCGTTCAATCCAGATTGACCCCCCAAAGCCCGTTCTTGCCCTGGAGTGGGGCTCTTGCCCTCCTGATGCACCCTAGGCAAGTGACCTGGCCAGGAGACCTTCTGCCAGGGTGGAAACCCAGCCCCAGAGCCTCAGGCCCAGCACTGAAGAGAAGGGGGTGCCTGCACCAGCACTGGGGACTGCTCTAGGCAATTCATTGAACCTTCCCATGACTCCGTTTCCTCATTTGTGAAATTGGATTAAAAAAACCCTACCCTACACAATTCTTTGGTTTTGTTTTGGGGGCCACATCTGTCTGTGCTCCGGGAGTACTCCTGGCTCTGTACTCAGGGATCACTCCTGGGAGACTCAGGGGACCATATGGGATGTTGGGGATTGAACCCAGGTTGGCCACATGCAAGGGAACCGCCCTACCTGCTGCTGTACTATCTCCCCCCGCCTCCACCCCACAATTCTTAAGCAAATAATTTGAAACGTGGGGGGGGGGGTTGCACTTAGCACCCTTTCAGGTGGTTCAGTGTTAGGGCCCAGTCATGCCATGCAGCCCAACAGGTGCTGGGGACCACCAGGATGACCCCAGCAGTGTTGGGGCAGGAGGGGGTGGATGTGGTTCCAGGGATTGAACTTGGAGCCTCTCTCCTACAAAGTAGGAGCTCCAACCCACTGTGGGGATTTCCTCTGAAGGCCGACCTCGTGCTTTCCCTCTAGTCCAGGCTGCGTGGCTGGAGAGGGAGAGCCCACGGGCTGTCCACCATGGAAGGGTGCTGTTTGGCTGGTTTCCCACTGCCAGGAAGGAGCAGTGTCCCTGGGTCCAGTGCGCCCCTGGATCCTGCGATCCGCCCATCCGCACCGAACGTCCCTCTCATCCGTTTGCTTGTGCCTCTACACACATGCTCACGCCTTGCCGGCATCTGATTCTGCGCAGATGTTTCCCTTCCTGCTCTGCCCGGGAAGGCTCAGAAGTCTGTGTGCGGCTTCCCTGCCCCACATGGATGATGATGATGATGATGATGGGCCGTGGTGAACCAGCATCCACCCAAGGCAGAGGCAGATGCCGTGGAGGGAGCCCGAGCTCAGGGGTGGGGAGTGAGACGCTGGTTCACGTCTATATTGGGTGGACCTGTGCATTTCCGGGGTGCAGAATGGATGCACTGTTTCCTCTGTTCAGTGTGGTACCACCACACTGGCTACAAGATCTCATGAGGGTACAGGACAGACCACTTTGAGGGGTACGCAGGGAGAACCCTCAAAGGACTAACCTACACGGGAGAGCCCCAGTTTTGCTCCCCAGCACCATGGGGTCCACTTAAGCACTGTTAGGGAGCTCCCTACCCCATCCCACAAAACAAACAAACAAAACCCAGCGCTTTTGGAAACAAAAAGAACCTCTGAAAGTGGCCTTCAAATTGGTTTGCAATTTGGTGCGGGTCGACAGAAATTCATTTGCCAGAAAGTCAATGCAGCTGCCACATTACCCAGAAGCAGCTGGAAACCACGGCTCTGAAATACTGTCTCCAAAATGATGCTGAACCCACAAGGTTTGGACTCCCAGAACTCTTCAGGGGGACAGTTTTTTTCTTTCGGGGAAAGCATGAACATAGCCCTCCACTACCACAAATTCTGCAGTCGAGTTTCCCACATTTGGGGAAATTGCAGGGGTCAACACATCCAGAGTACAATGGATAGATAAGCCTCGCCCTGGGAAAACCACCTTCATGTTCATGGTATCTCCCCAGGCAGTTAAGTATCAGGGGTACTCTTACAAGTGCCATAGTCTTGCTTAACTTGGATCTGAGCTAGAAATTGAGGATGTAAGCTGTTGTTCACTCTGCTATGTCCTCCCCAACCCTCCTCATCCTCCAAACAGTGGCAACCCGGAAGTCTTCAGGGTTATACCAGGGCTGACGGGGATGGGGGGTGCACACAGTCTGTCAGCCTCACGCTGAGGCCACCCCAAGGGCAAGGGGGCTCCTGGCTGTGGCCACACCTTTTATCCTTGGCCACGCACACCTGCCAGGCTCTGAGCGCTTTTTGGGTTTCAAGGCCAAGATCTGAAGCAGCTGTCCACAAAGGTAGGCCACAGAGGAGGCATCTGGATGCCAGGAGAGGGTGAGAAGGAAATGAGAAAAGCATTACAGAGAAACACTTCACATTAGTTCGCAGTGAGTTGTAACTTGGGGTCTGATTTTCCCGTCCACCCAGGCCAAGAGAACACAGGAATGTTACTAGTGGGACCAGAGCGATAGTACAGCAGGTAGGGTATTTGCCTTGTGTGTGACTGACCCGGGTTTGATCCCATAGGGTCACCCCGTGCCCACCAGGAGTGATCCCCGAGCACAGAGGCAGGCAAAAGCCTTGAGCACCACCTCCAGATATGGTACCAACACACACACAAAAACACAAACCCAAACACGCACACACACACACACACACAAAAGCAAGCAAAAAAAGAATGTCATGGGAGTCACATTATTCATAAGATAAACATACACCAGGTTTAGGGAAAGCAGAGATTACTCTCTATTTCTGGCCTATTGTGACTTTGGACCTGACTCTCTCAGGCACCAACTTTAACTCCCTACTACTCGCAGACATTTGAAGAACGTTCCACTGACAGAGATCTGGGTGTGGAGTGTGAGACGGTGAAGGATGCGGCTAGTATCTGGTTTGGGTTTTTTTTTTTTTTAATTTTATTTGTTTTGAATTTTTGTTTGTTTGTGGGCCACTAGCTGTGTTCAGGGCTTACTCCTGACAGGGTTCAGGGATCATATGTGGTGCCAGGCATAGGACCCGGAGTTGACCATGAGCAAGGCTAGGGCCTTAATCCACCCTACAATCCCTCCAGTGCCTAGTGTCCTTTTTAAGTAAACCCTTCCACAAGGCAGTTTTAAATTTATTAAGAAACACAGACTCTTCATGCGCTGTGATCTCTTTGGTTCAAGGAAAGAATCTAAAAATAACAAACATCTTGGGGCTGGAGCCATAGCACAGTGGGTAGGGCGTTTGCCTTGCACATGGCCAACCCGGGTTCGATTCCCAGCATCCCATATGGTACCCTGAGCACCGCCAGGGGTAATTCCTGAGAGCAGAGCCAGGAGTAACCCCTGTGTATCGCTGGGTATGACCCAAAAAGAAAAAAAAAATCAAACATGTAGGACTTGTTTGTTTTGGGGCCACACCCAGTGGCGTTCAGGGCTTATTTGAGGTTCTAAGTTTAGGGATACTCCTGGTGGGGATTGGGAGACTAGACATGGTGCTGGGGATAGAACCTGGGTCAGATGCATGCAAGGCAAGCACCCTAACCACTGTACTGTCTTTCTGGCCCAGAACTCGAGCTCCTGAAAATGAAAATACAAAAGCAACATAAATAGTCAATGATAGGGAACTGACTAAAAGATTGTAGGCATATTCAATAAAGCATCACCAGCATTAAAAATGATGTGAAAAACATTGCCGTGACAAAAATAAAACATTATGACCAAATGTTAAATTACTGCACAACATAAATTACAACATAATTGGTAACTAAATCATTCTGGGGCAACACTGGGGTCATAATTTATGTTTGTACACAGAGGTCATGGAAAGGGAATGTGAAACAATAAAAATGCTGTTTGTTAGAGTAGTGAGATTGTGCTTACCACAAAAAAATTTATGTACAGCATTTATGTACGAAATTAATCTTTTTTGTCGGTGTGAATGCAAAGGATTATCCCACTAGAAATGTTCAGTTATGACAAGCGAAGTTCAAGATCACGGAGAATATTCACCAAAAGTCTACTGAAGTAGTTAGAGTGGAGGTTTCTTTTCCTTTTTCAACTTTTTCTTTGAAAAAAAAAACAACAACAGTAAGACACTCTATCCCCTGCCAATAATATGTAGAGGAAGAGCTGGGAGAAGCCATGTGTTGGTGGGTATTTCTGAGATCCGTTAAGAGCCTGGGTGAAGGTTTGACACGGTCCTGGTGTTTATCCCAATGCTGCCCCATGACAGGGTAAGGAGTGAGCAGTGCCTGGCCTTGGCTGTGATCATGGGAGTCCCAGATTCTGCCATGGAAGCTAGGCAGTCCACGGGGCTTGCATCCACCTTGCCGGTATGTATCAGTACCCCTTTGCAGCCCACCCGCCTGCCTGTGAGCTAAGTGCTGAGACATGGTGCTGCGGGGTCCCTGCGTCCTGGGGCATAGGGGTGCCAGGGCTAGAACCCAGTGAGTGCCTTTACCCCTCAGCTGTCTCCAGGCCCCCATCCACTGGTGCTCAGTGGGCTGTGTGGGACACATGCTGTCTCACTGTCTCCGTGGCAAGACCCGCCACTGACGTACCCACCACGAGAGCAGAAGACACGGGATTCGGTGGTGGTGGTTTGGGGGGGAGGGGTCCCCTTGTACCCACCACATGCTGGCCATTCTGCTCAGGGCATCTGGAGCTCCGCTCTTCTCCCCATTCCCCCCATGGCCCCTGCCCACCACCATGACCACCTCGCACCTGACCCCAGCCTCATCCTCCCCATGGACGGCCCCTGCGGCAGTCACGCTGACCCTGCCGGCAGGGTCTTTCTGGAAACCAAAAGGCCAAGTTCATCTCCTTGTTGAGGACGCTGGGGCCAGGGCAGAGATGAAGCTTGAAACACTGCGCATGGCCTTGGCTTGTGACAGACCCATGTTTGATCCTCGCCACTATGTCTCTGAATGCCACTGGGTGCTTCGCCCCTCTCCTGAGCACAGAGCCTGGACTTGCCTCTGAGCACTGCTGGGTAGAGTCCCCCCTTCACCACCCCCCCAAAAAAGCAACAAACAGAACAGTGAGGCCTGCCCCCCAAGCCCTGGGTGATGGACTCAACCACGCCTTTCCGTGCCCCCCAGCCCGAGCTGGGTCTGCGAGTCCCCCCACATCGCTCCTTCTGCCCAGAACGCTGAATTCACACTGTCCCCATCCCTGCACCCCTAAGGAGCTCTCCCCTTCCTCCGAGTCTCACCCCATCCCCAGATGTCCCACAGCTGCTATAAATACCTGGGCTCCCAGGTCCTGGTGGGACTGGGCTTGCCCGGGTTCAAGGCCTGGTTTAGACACGCCCCCTCCCCACTGCTTCACGGGGGGCTCAACGAGGCACTCCAACCAGACAAGCGACAAGCCTAGTGCTAGTTCCTCAGCACAGGAGGTAAACTGAGGCCACGTATCTCACCAGAGGCAGAGCAGCTGGCTTGCCCATAGCCACACTATTGCCTCTGAGAACCCGGGGGTCCCCGAGCCCCCCAAGATTCCCCTTTCCTTCTACCAACAGCAGCCTCTCGTCCATTTGCAGCACTTCCCTGCCCTGCTATGCCAGACGCATTAGGCACTTCCTTTCGGGCAGTTCCTGCCCTCAGCAGTATCTGAGGCCTCACCTCCACACGAGCTGGGGAAAGAGGGTGTGGTGGCCGGGGAAGGTTGCTGAAAGGTTGGTGACAGGCAGCCAGCGTCCCCCCTCCTATTAAACCAACCTGCACCAGGGAAAGAGAGAGAGGTGCCGGCCATAGAAGCAGGCAGGGGTGGGGGTGGCAGGGAGGGGTGGGAGGGAAACTTGGGATACTGATGCTGGGAAATTACCCTGGTGGAGGGACAGGTGTTAAAACGACTGAACCCCAAGCACAAGCAGCTTTGTAAGGGTCTATCTCTCATGGTGATGAAAGAAAGAAGGAAGGAAAGAAATAAAGAAAGAAAGAGGAAGGAGGGAAGGAAGGAAGGAAGGAAGGAGAAAGAAAGAAAGAAAGAAAGAAAGAAAGAAAGAAAGAAAGAAAGAGGAAGGGGAGAGAGAGAGAAAGAAAGAAAGAAAGAAAGAAAGAAAGAAAGAAAGAAAGAAAGAAAGGAAGAAAGAAAGAAAGAAAGGAGAAAGAAAGAAAGAAAAGAGGAAGGAAGGAAGGAAGGAAGGAAGGAAGGAAGGAAGGAAGGAAGGAAGGAAGGAAAGAAATCAACCTGAAACCCTAGAAGATGGAAATCTGGCAACTGAACATTTCTGCTTCAGGAAAACCCCAAGGGATAATCCATGGGATAAGGGACTTGCCTTGCCCTGCCCACGGCCAAGCCAGGTTTGATCCCTAGAACTGCATCTGGTCCCCTGAGGCCCACCAGGAGTGATCTCTGAGCACAGAGCCAGGAGCAAGCCAGGAGCAAGCACTGCCAGGCATGGCACCCAACCCAAAAGGCAGAAGATCACTGTATTAAAAAAGCATCTGCCAGTGTTTCAACCAAGTCAGGGGCCTGGGAGAGAGCCTGATGTTGGAGCACAGTCTCGGCTTAAGAGCTCTTCCTTGTCATCACATCAGGCACCCCCCACACCAGCTCCCAGTCAGCCAGTCCCTGAGGATCGGCCCTGCCTTCATCCCAGGCCCCCATCTCTCCATGTTCCCGGGCTCCAGCCCCAGGCCATGGCTCTGGCCTTGATTTTCCAGAACTCAGAACTCACTCCCCAGGCCCCATGACAGTCTAACATCTGCTGAGACTTCCGGGCTTAGCATGAATCTTACTTCTCCCCAGAAGCCCTCCAGGGCTGCATGCGTGGTGTCAGCATGGTGTCCGTGGAGTCCGGAGCCTGTGCCACTGTCACCATCTGTCATGCCTCCCCGTGCCTGGCATGCAGCCGCTCCCATCGACGCTAACTACTGAACCTCTGCTATGGGCCAAACTCCTCGCAAGACACGAAGAAGATGCCACCGTCACCACTGAGCAAAACACAACCAGTGAAACACAATCAAGCAGCTTCTGGTGGGCGC